AAAGAAAGGAAAGGAAAGGGAAGGAAGAATGAAGGAAGAAGGAAAGAAAGAAGAGGAAAAGGCAGGAAACGAAGCTTAAACCCTGGAAAACCCAAAAAAATCAAACAAAGTGACTTATTTCCATGTGGGTTGGTGGGGAAGAAAGTAGCAGGTGGTGGTGTAATGCTGGGTCATGTATGCAAGCTGGTAGCCTGGGTACATGACTCAGCACATCCACAAGAAAGGCCAGCTTCAACCACCCAGACACCACAATAACCTCCACAACCACAACAACCTGCACAGCCACAACCATCTGCACAACAACAACAACTTGCACAACCCCAACACATGCACAACCTGCACAACCACAACAACCTGCACAACCACAACAGCCTGCACAACCACAACAGCCTGCACAACCACAACAACCTGCACAACCAAAACCATCTGCACAACAACAACAACTTGCACAACCACAACACATGCACAACAACAACCTGCACAACAAAAACCTGCACAACCACAACAACCTGCACAACCACAACAACCTACACAACCACAACAACCTACACAACCACAACAACCTACACAACCACAACAACCTGCACAACCACAACAACCTGCACAACCACAACAACCTGCACAACCACAACAACCTGCCAACAAAAATGCAGACACACTTGTTTTATGTATAACATCATGTTCAATAAGTTCCACAAGCTGCAGCACTTCTAGGAAAGTGTCCAGTGACTGTACATTTGTATATACATTATAGAACAATAGTAATAAAAAATTTGTTTGTATTGTTGGTTTGTGTAAACAAGTTTTGTAAACAATATAATGATAATAATGTGCAGTTATTGTGTTGCACAGAACGAGTGTATATATATACACTGCACCTAACTTTGGTCTCACAGGCCATATAAGTTACTTGGAAACAAATTGGAAAATACAAGAAACCATCGAATGGGAGTAAATATAAGTGTACTGGGTGAATGGCATTCGCTGCTGTTGCCATACATGGCTCATTTTCTGCCAACTTTATGCCTCTATATCTTGGAAAATACTGATTGCAAAAAAATTTTTCAGGCTTAAAACACAGCAAGTTAATCTTAACATTGTGGTAAGCAAAAATAATTTTTTTTTTTTAATATATTGCAACACAGGGAGACAGTTTCAGAATTAGGGTTGAGACAGTCACAGGATTAAGGAGACATAAAGGTAACTAATTAATACAGACCTGGCTTGATCTCATCTTGAGTAGTGGTGCAGCTGTCAACTTCATCCTCACAGTTTTCTTCAGGTATATTTAACCCACTGGTGTAGTGCTGAGCCTAGAAAACAACAAAAAATTATTATCTTACATTTAAAACCAAGGGTAAAAGCAGTGTAATAAATGTTCACTGAAACACAAATGACTCCCCATAATGCACAAACAAGAAAAAATATAGGGAATATGAGCATTATGAAATAATACTGTACATTGCATATCTCTATTCTTTATGTCTATACAGCCTCTCCTCACTTAGCGACATACTCATTTACCAACGACTTGGACTTACGATGGGCTCTCTGACCAGTATGCATACCTATGTATATTAGAGGTGATTTCCTCTATTCTGTTTATTACAATATACAGTACAATACTGTATAAACATTTAAAGATATACCAGAAATGTTATATATGGTGCAAAGGTGACATTAAAACAATATCAAAAATGGCTACCATTATAGTATGCTCCTCACTTAGCAACGAATTCATTTACCGACGTGGTGGTAGGAACAGAACTGTAATTAATTTTTGAAAATATATATAGATGAATTTTAATTCTGAAAAATTATGGAGAAAAAGGAGAGTTTAATTAATCTTAAAAAGAGTGATCAACATGACAAGCACAAGAAATAACAGCACTTAGATGCAGTGGATAACTTTGTTAACAACAATGGTTTTGCCCTCACAGTGGTTTCATCAAATCAAAAACCTTCTATCAAGTTAGAGGAACTAAGAGTGACACTCAAGATTATTATTATAATCAAAACAAAACACTAAACCTTGACACTCAAGTATAATTCTAGATCAGCACATAGCTGAGACTATCTACTGCAGGGTTTCTGCCACTAATAATCAACAAATGAGGATATTAGCACACAAACTTGAAACACTGCACCTAAAATTCTTAAAAACACCTAGAATATAATCCAGAATACAGAGTGATGCAGACAGAAACCCTATCTTCATCTTAAATTTGTCAGTGGCATTCCCAAACCCAATCAGGACAAAAACCCAATCACACACAACTACTGTAGTGCCATGATCCAGACTACCAGGAATATTACATACAGTTGTTTTGTAATGGTATTTGACTAAATACTTGAACAATTTTATATACAGTGCTTCTACAAAATGTAAGTAAATAAACAAGGTTTGTATCAAATGTTTTTTACAACAAACTTTAAGTGGAAGATATTTTTAGCATTTTTTAACCCTTTCAGGGTCCGTCCCGTAGATCTATGGCTTCATGTTGAGTGTCCAAGCCGTAGATCTACGCCAAAATTCTAGCGCCGTCGAATTTAGCGCGAAAGCGCTCATAGGCCTACATGTGAGGGAACGGGTCTGTGTGGTGGATATGCGCCATAAACAAAAAAATCTAGGCGCCCGTATAGCATTGTGGAAACACCGGCTCAGTTACCCTTGTTCACCCTGCCTCGTCGCAAGGCAGCTCTCACTCCACGGAAAATTGGGACTCTCCTCTTCCTATCTGATAGTTCTGACACTGATGGAAGTGGAAATGAAGACGAATTCTTTGGCTTTGACCAAAAGAAATGACCAGGATATCGATAATAGTGCAGAAAACCCTGACGATCCTGAACCTTCTACCTCTGGTGTTGGCACTCCTCAGTCACGGTCAGTTGTACCTCAGCACAAGAGAAAACTATTATTTTCACGTGGCCAGGCCTCTGACTTCAATAATGATGATGATAGTGACGTGAATTGTGATTTTATTGCTCTTGACGATCATTCGAGTAGTGATAGTGAGGAATCATATTCACCAGTGAAGCGTCGGTATGTATGCCACCGCATGCGCTCGGGTAGTGTACACTATGCTGTGCCCAGGGGACGGAGTACATCCCGGAGTACATCCCGTGGCCCTACACCAGGTACATGTATAGATAGTGATGATGATGTGGCTACACTTGGCATGGATAGACCACAGGCATCAGTAGGTGGTGGTAGTGGTGATGGTAGTGGCACCGCCATGCGTGACTCACCAGCCCAGGCTGGGACCCACGCTGCTGACTCCTCAGTTCAAGGACAAAGCGGAGCGTCAGCCACCAGCCCACCACAACCACAACCACCCGCACAACCAGCCTATGATGTCCAGTATCCACCAGCAAACCGTATCTGGGATTGGCAGCAAAAATCCCAAATTTTTTTCCCAAGCCCCACCACTTTGATGACTCTCAAGTGGAATTCTGCCTACTTGTCCCCTTGGGAAACCCTGGCCAATGAACTGGAATTCTTTGAATTATTCTTTGACCACCACTGAGGGAAACTACTGTCAAGGAAAGTAATAAGTATTTTGAGTACACCATGGCAAATACGATCATAAACACCACAGTCAGACTACACAGTGGAAAGAGACGACTTTGCAGAATGTATTTTCTTTTTGCAAAATAATGCTTTTTTCAGTTTGCTAATAAAAAGCATCTGGTTCACAGATCGGCTAATTTTACCCCGGATTCAGTGAAAAATCCCTGAACAGGTTTTCTTTTGCTACTAATTGCACTTCTCTACAAAAAAGGCCTGAAAGAAGTGACGGTTATACAAGATTTGAAATGTTTTTATGTATCTCAAACAAAAGTTCACATATACTTTTTTCCCCTTCAAGAATCTTTTAATTTACAGTTTTATTTTGTACGGTAGGCTGTCATTTCGCATTACCGACAAAAAACGCTTTGGAAAAACTTTTGAGGACGGAATGCCTTGGATTGGGAATTTGATAAAAAGGAAGTAAAACTTTGAAAGATTACCAAGTTTAGGGTTCCAGGTGCTAGTGGAACTGATATTATTTGGGAAGGGGCTCTTTAAAAACAGAAAACTGAAAACCCATTATTTGGGGGTTTTTTTTGCGGGAAAAAACCCAATGTTTGGCACAGTTATTCAATGGAAACAACCCAGCTAAGAGTGCTTTTTTGGGAGATGGCATTTAGCCAATAAATTTGGGCATTACTCCCTTAAAAACAGATGTAATTTTTTGACAACCATCACCAAAAAAAGCAAGACATGAAATTTGACAGTGACAATGAACATTAAAACCATGACAGTACTGTTTTTTACAAAAAACATGCCTTGTTGACAAATGTGCATGACATGGTTTGTTATTGTGTTCGTAAAAGTTTTACAAGGGACATAAACCCCTTTCTTTTCCTCTCATGGACATTTTTAAAATCTCAATGCATATAATATGTACCAAATAAGACTGGCAAAAACCAACCGTAGGGTAATTTTTTTTTGTCTGTTTGTCAGAAAACTCAAAATGAAGCCCCAGTAAAAACACCTGCTATACAACAAGGTCCTCGAACCCCCTCAGGAGATCCCCAAAACATTTAGGGGGAAGGTGATCTTTCATTTTATAGCTTTCCTTCAACTCAGAAGAAATTTGCTCAGAAGAGATGCATCGTCTGTGCACAAACAAAACGACAGCAAAAATACGCAGACCTCGTTTATGTGTGAGGAATGTAAGGTCCTCTGGCATGGTGCCTGTTTAAAAGATTTTCCACAACTCCAGAGTTCTAAAACCATGCCGCAATTGTAAATATAAATATATGATAGAACTTTAGAAATTATAAAGTTTTTTTTGTGCATTTTATTGTAAAAAAACAAGTGGTAAACAAAAAATGATAATAACTTTAGTGCGGTTATTGTGTTTTAAAACAGGATTATATATATACATTATAACAGTGTTGGGCTCTCAAGCCCCAAAAGTTAGAGGGAAAAAAAAAATTGGGAAAAAAAAAAACTACAAAAAACTGCTAAAAAAAGTAATGCGCACTGTGGAAATGTCGATGTTTCCGCCCCCAGCTCATTTTGGACAAACTTCTCGGCGCTGTATCTCGGTAATATGATCAGAATTTTTTTTTTTTGCTTTTTACCTTCACAAAAAAAATTCTCTTTAAAAAACTGTAAGAAATTTTTTTTTTTTTTTTTTTTTTCAAAAATTTTTTGGGCACTGGAGCACCACTTCGTTTTTTCCTTGAACCCCGAAGGGTTAATTAAGGACCAATATTAAACCCGGGAAACACTTTCTACAAAGAAAAAGGGGAAAGGGGGTTGAAATTTTTTTTTGCTTTTGAATTTGGTGAACTATGTATGTCACATATTAACAGTAAAAGTAAGCTAAACGCTGAGCATAAGAACACACAAAACGTTTGATCAACAAATTTTTTCATGGGACTTAAAATGAAAATTCACGGTTATCTGACTTGTTTAACCCTTCACTGTTTGGTATATATACGTCTTCGACCAAAGTGTTTGACAAATATACAGTGGACCCCCGCCTTACGAACGCATCGCGTTACGTTAAATCTGCCATACGAAGCATTTGAATGCAAAAATTTTGCCTCGCACCACGATAAAAAACTCACCTTACGTGATTCGTCCGGGACGCGTCCCACATGTAGCCTCAGCTCCCACGTGGGTGCCACTGTTTACAAGCCAGCCAGTGCGGTCACATCTAAGCATACATTCGGTACATTTCATATTATCACAGTGTTTTTAGCACTTGTAATTGCAAAATAAGTCACCATGGGCCCCAAGAAAGCTTCTAGTGCCAACCCTGTGGTAAAAAGAGTGAAAATTACTAAGGAAATGAAGAAAGAGATAATGGCTAAGTACGAAAGTGGAGTGCGTGTCTCGGAGCTGGCCAGGTTGTATACCAAACCCCAATCAACCATCGCTACTATCTTGGCCAACAAAACGGCAATCAAGGAAGCTGTTCTTGCAAAAGGTGCAAGTTTGTTTTCGAAACAGAGATCGCAAGTGATAGAAAATGTTGAGAGACTGTTATTGGTGTGGAAAAATGAAAAACAGATAGCAGGAGATAGCATCTCTCAAGCGATCATATGTGATAAGGCAAGGAAGTTGCATGACAATTTAATTAGAAAAATGCCTGCAACTAGTGGTGATGTGAGCGAATTTAAGGCCAGCAAAGGTTGGTTTGAGAGATTTAAGAATCGTAGTGGCATACATAGTGTGATAAGGCATGGTGAGGCTGCCAGTTCGGACCAAAAAGCGGCTGAAAAATATGTGAAGGAATTCAAGGAGCACATAGAC